TCTCAGGTTGGGGTCACCTATCAGAGGGAGGTTCCCTTTCTATAATGCTTTACACCATGCATCGGTTCTCATCAAGTCTTGCTTTGTTTCTCAGGGTGGGGTCACCTATCAGAGGGAGGCTCATCTCCTAACGCCTTACACCATGCATCCGTTCCTATCGTGTCTCGCTTGTCATGTACCTGGGCGTATCCTTTTCAGTTACATAGTTCGATGTTGTGTGCTGGAACCACTTCAGGAGGGGAGGACACGTGTCAAGGAGATTCTGGTGGCCCTCTCGTCTGTGAGTTCAATGGAAGGCAAGTATCATGAAAATTATCTCCTAACGTTATTTCCTTTCTCTTAACAGGTAACTATGGCAATAGTGCTTCTGCTACTATGGTTACAGCTCCAATATAGTAGACGTGACCATGACATTAGCATGTGACACGAGTGAAAAACGTCTGCAGATGCTCTAAATCCGTATGCGAATTAGTCAAAAAGTCTTCATGCTATCGTAAAAATATGTAATTTGACTTTCAAACATGCGTGATAAAATGGACTTCACAAAATACCAAAACTTAGTGTCCGTATTTGAAACGTAAGGCTAATTCTTTCATATTGTGTTTGTTATTATACCCGAGACATTATTGTATACTTGGAGAAAACAAAACATTTCCTCGCTCGAACTCTTCTAAATATCTTTAGAAAACGTGCTGAAATGCACGCATGTGCAAACTTGCTTGTATGATGGCTGTCTTGACGTCATTTCCTGTCTCGTGGCCAGTTACCATGGTTACAATGTTTCTTTTGTTTTAGGTGGTACCTTGAGGGCGTGACTAGTTGGGGTGAAGGATGCGCTGCTGTAGGGACGTACGGTGTCTACGCAAGCACTCGGTATCACAAGACTTGGATCCAGAACACAATGTCTTCTAGATAAAGTAAACGCGTGCAGATACTATAGGAATACGGTCTACTATCCAATCCCCATGTATCTATTGGTATATATATAGGCATGCGTGTAAGTAATAGTTGCATATCAGGGAGATATAAAGTTAAAAGACTATCGTAGTGTAATAATTTCATTGCAGTCAATCGATCTATTGAGCAATAAACATGATTATGAGGCACTGTCAAATGCAGAGACGGATTTACATTGGTGTCTTGCCTGGCTAGTAAATACCGGGTCCTTCTGCGTTTGCATCTTTCCATTTATGTAATACGCAATAAGGAAAAACTTATATATATTTTACAACCACCACTCCCCATGCGGGGCTCTTTCGTGAGGTTCCCTCCACACGCACTACCACTACGTTCTATATTTACAACATACAACACTCAACTCACATGTTGCTTTTTATGGAGGGAGGAAACCGGAGATTCCGGAGAAAACCCTCGTAGCAAGGGAGAGAACAACACATCAAACAAACTCAACTCACATATGATCCAGTCTGAGCCAGGGCTCGAAC